ATGCAGACATTCTGTATGCACAAATGAAAACTCACTCATTTCATTGTGTCAAATTCTGTTTTCTGAAGTATTCAGCCAACAACATACAAAATTACATATAAAGGGTTTTATATTCCACAGACATAGCTTCATTTTTTTTTAACATTCTGACACCAAAAAACATGTTTAGATGCACTAAAATAAGAAATGCAACAGCAGCTTTAACAAGATTTTTTTGTAGGATTTAGTAGCATCAAGCTTTTGTTATATTCACCAATACTTTTATAGCTGTGGCTACATGAATGTTAAAACCGATTAATTATCCCCTTCCTTACATCCTACATACCAGTAGCAAGAAATCCACCCGATCCGCCAGTACACATCAAAATAAATGGATCATTTCCAATGCTTACTGAGCCATTTTCAAATCAGGACAAGATCCAACAGAGGAAAAGTGTATTTATTGTAACCAGAAACATTTACCTTGTGCTATTTTTAAATTGTTCCTCTTGAAACCACTATAAACAAGCCTCAAGGAAGCTGCACAATAGGAAACAGACTTTTTCACCAAACATTCAATACAAAATTAAACCCCAAAGCAAACCAGAACACCACAAAAGACCTACACAGTCACTGGGAAAATGCTGACTGATTGACACTTTCCACAAGGGGAATAAGCCACAAAAGGTTGTTACTACAGAAGATGGTCAATCACAGAGTTCTCTATCCAAGCATGTTAAAGGGGAATTGTGGGAAAGGAAAAAGACTGAGGTTCCTTTTTTGTTGTTTAGAAGTAACACTATGAAGAAACTAAACCCTGAACCACAGAACCAACAGCAAATCACAGGCATCACAATGTGTGCAAGAAGTTTAAGAGACAAGTTTCTCTTTTTCATTTGAATTACTGAAATGAATAAATTTTTCAACAATTTTACATTTTATTGAGATTAACCTGCATACGTGTACAACTAGTGCATATGTCAACAAGGCATCTGACAATTTGAACCACACTTTAAGATGGCCACCAGGTTTAGGGGGGATTTGAGCAGTCACAAATTTCACTATAATGTGAAATTTGCATCTCTGACTACACTTGTCCAGAGCTGCATGTTTGTGTTGCTTTTTCTGTTATTTTCGCTCTCTTTTTATATATGTTTTAATTATTTTTTCCCATTGGCAACGATTGTCGCCTTGTATTAAAAACATTTTCACTGACATAAATAACTTATCTTGCAAGATAAGATATCCTTGGGATAAAATAAGTCAACATCACAGTTAGTTATTATTCATTAGATGGTTGTAACACAGATTACTGTTATCAAAATTGAAGGAAGAACTAAATCCACTCTGCTAAACTGAATGTGTTTATATGTCAGTGAAACCATCTGATGCAAAAGATGCACTATATAATACAAAAATAAAAAAGAATGCTTCATGCAAATGCTGTTTAGTCTTTACACAGAATTTCTTCTCCATTAAATAATCCCTCTTTCAAGTTTTGCCCTTGTCCTCTGTGTTGTCCCCACTTCCCCAAGACCCCCTACTCCCATCAAAACAGCCAGATGCTGCAAACTTCAGATAAACAACTGCAGCTCGAGGTCAGTCCCTCCCCCAAAGAGCCAGAGGCATAATGTCCCACAGTCCCATCCCATGTGGTTATGTTCTGTATATCAGTTGTAACTCTGACAAACAGCAGAAACAGAGACGTACCTTTCAACATCTTCTAACACTGCCTAAAAATACTTTTTTGCGCCTGCCCTTCTTTTTAAAAATCAGTCATCTGGAGATATTTTGGTCAGAATGCTCTATTTGTAGTGACACAGTAGTGATTAAACACACTGATGTACCTTCTACAACTTCAGACTGAATCTCTATATTAGGAACAGGGCTAAATATAAAATACTACTATTCCTTTTTTCTCTCTATTTCAGAGAACTCGATGTGTTTAAGTTGTTTTAGTTTGAGTAAATAAAGGCACAACACAGATGTTGAGCCAGTTGAACAAGGCATGTTTGAAAAGTCAAAACGAACAGCTACAGGAGAGCAGTTTTAATTATCATAACTTTATGCCACAACAGGTGAGAAATGGAAAATGACTACTGTTAATTAAAGTAATTAACTAAAAAAATAGACTTTTAGCTTGTACGAAGGCCTAAATAGAGCTAGATACTGGTCATCACCAGAATGGTAGTTTAGTCTGATATGATTATCTTTATGAGATGTGTTCTCATCCTTTGGAGTGTTTTAGGACACCTTTACAAATAGTGAATCAATTAAATAAAACACATTTTACTACATGAAGTAAGTTATGAAAAAACAATCTAAAAAACTACCAGGTTGTTTTCAATGAGAACCATTATTCACAGGCAAAGACAACATGGAACAGTGGTTAGCTTTCCTAAGAGTGGTCGGCTTACTAAAATACACAAAAGAAGCAAGATCATCTAAAGGCCCCACTTGCTTCAATTAGGGTCAGAGTTTGTGGTTTAAGGACGGGCTGGGAAGAAGGCAATGGAAGAAGCCATTAGTTCGGCCTGCAGTCAAGTCTGGTCTTTGACAAAGGATGTTTCTGTGATGGGGATTGAAACAAGAAAAATGTACACTAACAGAAATAACTGTGGGAAAAATGTTTTTTTTTTATTTTTATTATTATTATTTTATCATGAACACAAATAAAAATAATAATTAAGGCTGCACAACATAGTTGGACAGAATGTGATGGCAGCAGATACTCAACTGGACACAAAAACAACTTGCCAAAATGCTAAAGGTCACAGAGAGATGGAAGTAATGATGAGAAAGAGAAGAAGAAAATTCACATATCATGACTGATATTGCGATACCAACATTATTGCCATCACAACGTTTTCTAATATTGTGCAGCCCTAGTATTAATAAAATATCACATCCTCTTTGAAGCTGTATACAATTCTTACATTTACCAGATTAAACCTAGACTTGGACTAGGTTATTACCTCAAAGCTGTTTTGCAATGTGGCTCTGTGTTCAAACAGAACTAAAATATGTAATAGTGTCAAAAAACAAAAGAACCAGTGAACAAGTAACTATCCTCTGGGTGATCCTTGCTAAGATACCAAACACATGGATTTTGCTGAGAGATGCATTCTTTATATTTCCTCTGTATTTTAAAATACATAGATGTACGTTTGACTGAAACAGCTGCAAAACACCGCTGGTCTTTAAACCTCTTTACACCACCTCAGTCATTCAGTGCTGGGATCTTCTTTCCTTTGCACACTGTGGCTAATTGAGAACACCAGAAATGGAGCAGACTTCAAATATCTTAACAGTGACGAGAATAACAAATAGGGAAAGGTGGTTCCTGCAAAGCTGCTTTGATTTAGATAAGGCTTTCTTCCATCTGACGAAACCTGCAAATTTATTACCTAGAATAGAGGAGCCAATGTGGGCACTGGGACAAATCCCAAACACACTGTTACACAGAGTTAATAAGGGAATTTGACCGCTTGTCTTCACCTGTTCAGTCATCAGTCCTGTGGTGGGATTTCACTTTTTCACCACGTTTAAAGTGAAAAAGGGGAAAAGATTCTGCATTTCCAAAGTTGGCTCCTATACTACATATATGTGTGTGTGTGTATATATATATGTACATTTTTTTTTTGTTAGCAGCACTACAAACATAACTTACACAAGGGTTTAAAAGAGGATTTATAAAAAAAAAACTATTTTAATATAATTATTAATTCAATAAAATAACATCTTGTTTTAGAAACAATGCATCAGCTTCAAACTATAATTGTCAGTGAAGGATTTTTTCTTAAAAATGAACAAAACAATACATATTGTTTTGTATCATTAAAGGAGATGATAGATTTCAAGATAAAAAGGGTTAGGTCAAACACTATTTCTACCACAGGAGAAAAAGTGTTTGCAGCAGCAAGATGCAGATTTTCTATCATTCTGCTGTGAAGAGTGCAATCTCTTTTCCCCATCATCTGTCGGAGCAGCAGCATCAGAGCCAGGGACTTAAGCAACCTGATAACAAAGTCCGGTTCTGTTCTGGGGACTATTCTTCACCATCTGGAGATAATTGTCCAAAAAACTGATTCTTCATGAAATCAAGAGAATCCGGCACAACCCTGTGCGTCACTTCACGACACTGTTATACAACAAGACAAAGTCTTCAATCAGAGGCTTCTACAGATTCACTGTAATACAGGCTGCTATAGGAAATCATTCCTGTCCACAGATTTCAGAATCTACAGCTTTTTGGAGAAAATTGCATAATATGAGTTACAGCAACATTTCATTTGAATTTGTGGCACACTGGTTTAATTCCACCATTTAAATCAGGTGTGTTGTAATTTGTAATTATGTATTTTTCATAATTGGAAACAAAACAAAGAAGTGATTAAACAATTCATAATATTTTATTTAAGATGCACCAGATGTGGGAATAGAAGAGAATGAAAAAGGAGGTAAATTGAATGAGAAAAGATACATGTCCTAAAAGGTTATAACACAACAGTGAGGGTAACTTAGCCTGGCCATTAACCCTGAGTAAGGAAGAGCTGACCAAGCTAAATTACTGACAATGAAGGTTGTGGGTTGTGGGTTTAATAATGACCGAGCTCTGATGGGAAAACATCCTAATGAGAAGCATCAGTGCAGACAAACATAAACTGTTAAACATTATTCTTCACTTGAACAGATAGGTTACCATAACAACAATTTGATCAAATATCCACCAGACTAAATACACTTTGTTAGCAACCTGTCAATGCTAATACAATGATTAATTTGAAAAATGATTGATTTTTTTTTTTTCTCTCAGGTCTCCAACTGATTTTATGGTCTTCAATCAGCAGTACTATCTGGCCTGGACTGTGCAGCACAATCGCTGTTTCACTATGCTATTTTAAACAAGTGGAAGCCCATGTAAGTTAACTGTGAGGTAGACATAAAGTTGAATCCACCATTTATTTTTAGATGACGTACAAAAAAAAGGATTTAGTGTTTGTTTGTAGGTAGAGCCAATCAACAGGTCATTCACCTTTCCATCTAAATTTTACTAAGAACGTTTTTGTATCACAGTTCACTTAACTGTTTTGTTTTTTTTTTCACTTCTCAACAAACTAGTCTATTTTATGTTCCTTTAAAACTGTTTTAGTCATTAACTCAACACTTATTTCTCTCGGATCACAATTATCATATCCATTTGAAAGCAAAACTCAATAAAACCCTCAATAAAATTTGAAATGGATTTTACTGATAGCATTCCTTTTATTATCCAAAAGGCACACCAATCAGGTATAACATTACGGCAGCTGAACTAATTAGCACATATCATCTTTATCTTGGTAATTGTTTTTGGTGGTGTATGTTAGGCAGCAAGAGGATAGTTTTCAGAGTTTTTAAATAGAACCAAACGAATAGAATAGAAATCCTTTAATATGCTTTACTAAATAAATGAACTGGGAAGAATCTGATCTGGACCAACTGAACAGATTTTCTTTTAAACCATGTAGATGGCCGAGTGTATTTGCACATATTGCCAGGATGTAACATGTGTACCAGATAAATAAACATTGTTGCAGATAATGTACGCCCTATCAAGGAAATACTGTTTGTTGACATGTGGCCTTTTCAGCAGAATCATACGCTCTGGAACAAAGAAATGGTCAGAAGCACAGCAACAACTTTGAACCCCCACACACTGACCGTATGTGGGACAGGCAAGTCAGATCCATGGAGGACACGTCTCATTTTACAGAATTTAAAATGCTTAAAAAAGGTGGCAAACATCTTGGCGCCAAATACCACAGCACATCTTCTGGAAACTCGTGGGGGTCCAAATCTTGACAGATCTGGTTGGTTTCAGCAACAAAACAGAGACCGCCCACTGGAGTAGTGGAGGTCATCAAGTTTTGCCTGATCAGTCTATCTGAATTAAATTAATTGTTTTTAGTAGTATGAATAATAATAATTATATCACAATTTCACAACCTGAAACAGAATGTTTGCCTCCATAGTTCACAAGGACAAGCAACAGAAGAAAATAACATATTAAACTACATTTTATCTTGCAACATCATCAACAAACTATTTAATAATATACTATTTTACAACGTAGTATCTACCTATGTTATATAAAAGCAGTCAAAATGGAATCAGACTTTTATGGCCACATTGAAGATCAGTAGTTAATTTATCTGCACTAGAAATGCTTTAATGTCCCCATGCGCAGTTCTAACCTGACCAGTGTTTACAAAACCAAATCACAACCTAAGCTTTGTGTACTGGAGCAGATATGACTAACAGTTCTCCGAGGATGTTCCAGAACAAAAGTGCCTCATGTCAGATCGCATCATGCCCCTAAATTTCATCTCCAACTTTATGTGTATTTATTACAGCATTTCCTCCTCATGCTAGACTTTCTTTTCATCCTCTGCTTCCCTGCTATTTTTTTTTCTCCATAAAGTAAGCCGTGATCCTGCCAGAGAAATGTAGACATTAGAGGCTTTTACAGTCTGAGCAAATTAATCTCTTGCAGCGCTGTAGCAACAGCCTGGCAACTCATTAAATATTAACAAGCCATGTCCTGCCAATAGAAAGTCTTCACAGCCTCATGCACTTTTAACAGCATGAGTGGTGTGCTGTGTAAGAACAACAAGGGATAAGTAAAAGTAAAGTGGCTTTTCTGTAGCACTTACTGCACCGTTGTATGACATTAGCAACATTAACACACTGGCTGAAGCTGGGTTGTAACAGCCGAATGTTTTACATACAGTAAGCATGCTTACAGATTAAACAGCAGGCAGTGTAAACATTAGTCTCAGAATATCAGCTGATGATGGTGCATAAAATGTTTTACATACCGTTAGATCCCTCCAGGTCGGGTCAGCCTTAAGAGCTTATGAGTAACCTACAAATGTCAAGATTTAGAATCTAAGAGTAGGAGGTATAGCTAGAGATGAGAAATCCTTATGTGAACATTTTATGCTCATATAATGAGCGCAGTCTGATGAGGATTAATAAGACAAAATTACTTTAAAAAACCGTATGAAGCTTGTGAGAACACTTTTATATTCTTGATAAGGTGCCTGAAAACCACTACAAAAGACCCAAACTAAAACTGGAATTATGATTACTATGTATAAGAGGAAGTCTGTAATGATCTGAAATGTTCTCCAGATGTGAGACATTAGGAAGTTTGAGATTTGCATGACTATTTAAAGCTAGTGACTTGCGAGTATTCTTCTTTCAACACCAAAATATTGCACATGAAGAAGTTTAAAAGCCTCTGGAAGCTGCACTTCCAAGATCTCACTAGTTCAGAATGTTTCACATGAATACGTTTGTTGAATATCAGTCTTCAATCAGACAGCTGCAGTTGGTCCAGAAAACTGCTCACGTTCTCAATAAAACTAGGAAAATAGAGGGCATCATTCCAGTTCTGAAGACCTTACACTTACTCCCTGTAGCTCAGAGAATAGACTTTACAGTGTAACTACCCTAACCCTAACCCTCCAAATCAACTTTTATTTTTTACTTATAAGCCATCTATGTAGGTTTCTATCTATATGTATACCACAGATGTATGTTCTGTACGAATTTTTATATTTTTTTTTATGTAAAGTTGTTTAGTTAGCAGTTGAATTCTCCTATTGCTTAAAATGGCATGGCTTTATCTCATACAGTACAGTGTTTGTCACACAGTTCGAGTATAAAAGCCTCTCAGAAACAACAGAACCCAGAGGCCAATCAGGAGTTGGAATATGAGCATGGCCAAGGTGAGCATTGATAGATAGAATTGCTCAGCTTCACAAATATGTGAACTATTTGCATTGTGAAGAGGGGTCTCCTCTGCTCTATCAGCGACGATATACTGCAGGACGGACAACTGTCAGACTGACTGCGGTGCTTGGGAAGAAGGAGATCACAGTAGCACTCACGGCCTTGCTTAGGACTAAGCAGGGTGGCAGTTGAGCCGCACAGAGTTGACACCATAAAAGTCTCTAAAATCAGAAAAAATAAAACTAAATAAATAAATCGCTAGATTTGTCAGTTGTTGACGTTCTGATATAAAGTCACTAGAGATATCTGGAAAGCCACAGCTCCGCTTACACCTCCCTGTCTCTTGGCTCCGCCCACTTTTAAGTAAGTTTTCAAAATTTGTCAGGGACCGGGGTAGTGCTTGAACATTTTAAAATTAAAAATATTTGACCAGTGCTTTTTGTAAGGAATAGGCCTGTTAGTTGCACAACTAAAGTAATCCAGCTTCAGGCAAACAAATGCATGTAAACTCTGGTTTAATATTAACCTAGACCATCAATTTGTTCCAGTTTCAGGTCTACTAAAGCAGTGTTTTCCCAGCCGTGGCCCTCAGGGCACACTGCCCTGCCTGTTT